AGAGTGTAAGCTCCTCTGTACAGAGACTTGTGTGACTGTGGGGGAGGGGACATTAGAGTGTGAGCTCCTCTGTACAGAGACTGATGTGACTGTGGGGGTGACATTAGAGTGTAAGCTCCTCTGTACAGAGACTGATGTGTTTTAGTAAAAGAAGCTCAATGATCCCGAGAGAGGCGAGAACTCAGAATCACACGTCGTACAATCCGAAACGGAAATCTCGATGGGAAGACTTACATATTGCGCCTGATCGGGGAACTGCGAATAGAACAGAGAAAGATTTGTTACAGAGAGACCGACGATCACACTGAAACAGACTCACCGCGTCTTAAAGATAACGTTTCTATTCTTACCTGGATCTTAATATTGTCATATTGTCTCTCTTACAATATTCTGTCATTTTGCATTTTGTTAATAAAAAATAAAAAAAATTGCTATTCAAAAAAAAAAGATGAATTTTATTATATTTTTACTATTTGAAAAAAAATCTGTTCTCTACAGAGCTCAATAGCTCAAGTGCAGAATTTAATGATGTCAGCGGAAAGACTCCTCCCCCTTCCAGATTCCTCTATTCTCATGAGGTCATCTGGAGTATCAATCCTAAACAAACTATTCATCGGAAGGTTTTTAAGACTCGTAGATACAATAATGCAGAATTACTGAAGACGAAAACATTCACGTGTATAAGTTACGGCCACGGCCGCCCGTACATCATCCCCATCTGATGGCCCCGCCCCTGATGACATCATCACCACCACATACCTGCTTTTCTGGATGCTGCATGTAGAGAAAGAGGAGAGAAAATCAGATCACATTTCCGCCGTGCAAAAGGAATAAATGTAACAACATCAGTTTTATCCGAGTCACCATTTATATTTCTGGATTTGTTTATCTCCCTTAAAGGAGAACTATGAGGGGGGGGGGGGGCTTTTCACTCACCTCAGAGTTCTAGCCGACCTGTGACAATGAGACTGTCACAGGTCGGCTCAGTAGATCGGGAGGTGAGCGAACACATACCGGCGTTCGCTCACCTCTCGATCCTGTCACGGCTCTCTGCCATGACAGGGGGAGGGGCTGGATTCCCCCCTCCCCGCTCCGGTCCTCCAGCGCTGACTGGCGGAGCGGACGGGGGAGGGGGCGGGTACAGACGGCTCTGCCTCTAGATAGGCGGAGCCAGCTGTCACTCACACAGCTGGGCAGATCCAGACATAATTGTCGGGATCCGCTTCAGCTGCGGCGTCTCAGTATATAGGGAGCTGTAGCTCCCTATATACTGAGCTTAGGGTGACGGGAGGACGCTAGTTTGTGTCCTCCCGTTACCCTAAGGAGAACTATGGGGAAAAGCCTTAACCCCATAGTTCTCCTTTTAAAGCTCCCCCAACAATATACAATCTGATTGTACAATCTGCGTAGAATCTTCTTTAGAAGTTCGCAAAAGGATGTCACCAGCACCCCATTTAAAGGAGAACTATGAGGTGAGTGATTTTCACTCATCCTCATAGTTGGAGCCAATGTGTGACAATGAGACTGTCACAGGTCGGCTTAATAGATCGGGAAGTGAGCGAACGCATACCGTCGCTCGCTCACTTCTCGATCATCTCCCTGCAGAGAGCCGTGACTGTCACTCATGGCTCCCTGCAGGGATTCCCGCTCCGATCCTCCACCGCTGAATGGAGGAACGGACGGGGAAGGGGCGGGTACAGCTTGCTCTGCCTCTAGATAGGCCAGCTGTCACTCACGCAGCTGGATGGATCCAGACAGTAATGCCGGGATCCGTCCCGGCTGCGGCGGTCTCAGTATACCGCGAGCTGTAGCTCCCTATATACTGAGCTTTAGGTCACTGGAGGACGCTAGTTTGTGTCCTCCCGTGACCCTAAGGAGAACTACGGGGGAAAACACTGACCCCATAGTTCTCTTTTAAGTGAAATCAACAAAAGTCCATTATTAATGGAGTACTGTCATTCCAGTGCAAGCGATATCGGGGCCGCACAGGGTCACTAGGAGCGCCCACCCGGGATTTCACGGAACATCCTATACTGGTAAGGAGTGCAGCAAGACACCTATATATTAATCTTCTTCAGATTTACCTATAGAAACCCTGAATAATTAAATTTACATAATCGATCTAATATAAGGAAGGACAGACCTAAACATTACCATTCATTGTGTATGTGCAGCATTGTAATCTTATTTCACTCATACTTATTAGGGATGAGCCGAACACCCCCATGTTCGGTTCGTATTCGAAGATTCGAACTCAATGCAAGTGTATGGGGGTCGAATGTTAGACCCCCATACAGCTGCCGGTACATGTGGGTGCAGCGGCCTGTGTCCCTTCAAATCCCCGCTGTTCTCCCCGCCTGTGTTGGCGGAGGCAGCCGGGACACAGATCGCTGCATTGCTCCGCTGCCCCCGTACCTCCGCTGCTGTCTTCCCCTGGTCCGTCGGCTTCTCCGTTCCCCCGTCCGGGTGCGGCACCTCGTCTTCTTTCGGTCCGTCCGCTCCTCTGCTCCCGGTTCGCACACACCTCTTCCTCCGATCCGTCGGCTCCTCTTCCTCCGGTCCGTCGGCTGCTCCGCTCCCGGTTCGCCCACTCCTCTTCCTCCGATCCGTCGGCTCCTCTTCCTCCGGTCCGTCGGCTGCTCCGCTCCCGGTTCGCCCACTCCTCTTCCTCCGATCCGTCGGCTCCTCTTCCTCCGGTCCGTCGGCTGCTCCGCTCCCGGTTCGCCCACTCCTCTTCCTCCGATCCGTCGGCTCCTCTTCCTCCGGTCCGTCGGCTGCTCCGCTCCCGGTTCGCCCACTCCTCTTCCTCCGATCCGTCGGCTGCTCCGCTCCCCCGGTCCAGCCACTTCTCCTCTGCAGGCTTTGAGTCATACCCAGCCAGCTATTGGATATTGTAAAATGCCATAGCCAATAGCAAGCTGGCTATTGCACCCGCCCACTGTCAATCAGCATGGGGGGACCTGATAGAGAACTTTCTCCTTCAGGCCCCTCCTCCGCTGAGCGTTGATTGGGCAAAGACTTTAACAAATCAGAGCTTCGCGGCGGTCGAACAAACCGCGAACATTCCATAAAGTTCGGCGTTCGGCGAGCGCTCGAACTGCCGATGTTCGATTCGAACTCATGTTATATATACTCCCTAATACTTATATACATGAAGACACGAGGAATGTTCTTACTGATGAACTGCAGAGGACGGAGAACTTACTTTTGGCTGTCGAAACAGAAGGCTCGTTATCTGAAAAACAGAATTCTCACTTAAAATGACATCTGACAACAGGATTCATCTCTTACTACAACAGAATGTGCCAATGGGTCGTACTATCTAACATGTGACAAGATCTATCTGTGTATCTGTCTGTCAGGAAGCCAGAGTTCTTACACCGCGGCTTGCGCATTCGCATGCGCCTGGTGCAGCCCATAGAGCTGTATCAGGTGCAGCGTCTCTGTGTGAATGTGCGCGCATGCGTTAGTGCGCCGAGGTATTGTTTGAATGTTTGGCGCCCTCTGGGCTATTTAAGGCTGTGACTGGCAGACCACCTTTGGTGTCAGATTTGTCAGCTTCCCTTCAGTGTCCCTGAAGTGTTTATCTGTGATTGACCCGGCTTGGCTATCTATCTCTCTATTATCTGTCTGTCTGTCTGTCTACCTATCTACCTATCTATCTCTCCTATTATCTGTCTGTCTGTCTGTCTGTCTGTCTGTCTGTCTGTCTGTCTATCTGTCTATCTATCTATCTATCTATCTATCTATCTATCTATCTATCTATCTATCTGTCTATCTATCTATCTATCTATCTATCTATCTATCTATCGGGTCAGATTTGCTCTCCCTGCTGCCCCGAGGCCAGGCCTTGTGGGAAATCCACCCCCTCTATCTATTTATGGTTTGATGAGTTTCGTGTGGGGGGAAATTGAGTGCCACGCACAGAGCCCTGACTTTCCTCAATGGGGCCACAGCCAACAACATAAACATCACCGTGACCCCAAAACAATTTAGAAAAACATTGGGAGGATCGCCACTTCAGTGAACCAAAGAGAATGCCCTACAAAAAACAAAATGGCGGCCCAGTTCATGGATCTCCTGCAATAACTGGGGGTGAGGTTCTGTCCATGTGCAGCTCTCCTCGTCAGCCATATTGAGCGTGTGACCATCGTGGGGCTCCTATCAACCACTCACCGTCCTCTTTGGGTTTATTGGCCACCACTTTCCTCCCGTCATTGTCATCCTCGGGGTTGGTGATGACCATGGAGGTGAGCGGAGTCACAAAGCTGTATTTCAGACACAGCCGCAGGGCCTCCTCCGTTATCTTTCCCTTCTCTTCTCCCTCTGCTGATATCCTGAAGGAAAATATAACAAGTTGCATCGCATTTGCATTTTTTCGGGGCGACGCTCCTCCTGTTCTGGGTAGAAAAACTTACAGTTTGGTCAGCAGCTGCTCGATGGTCAGGTAAGCCCACAGCCTCTCGGTGAAATCCCCGAATGCATAGCGCTGCTCTCTGGCAATCTCAGCATCTTCCCTGATGTTTGTTTCCACATTCATAGAGAACGTCTCGGACGCCTGCGCAACAAAGAGTCCAAGTCAAAGTGATTCCTCAGGCCCGCTGACATACTTAAAGGAGCACTCCATTCAAAACTGTACGGGTGGGGCCTGGTGGCTGTTTCATCAGCTTCCTGCACCCACTGGGGGTTCCAATGGAGAGATCAGCCTGCCATAGCTCTAGACCCTCTTCTTGCCCACCTTGGACTTTTGGATGTTCCCGCCCACGAGGAGCGGAATATTCTGAGACTTCGTAAAGAAGCCATTAAAACCCAACTGAGCTTTCAGTTCGTCATCTGAATACATTTCATGTTCATCAAAACAAAACATTCTCAGTTCATTTTCTTTCTACAACTACAGGGTGAGTAGAGGTCTGTCCCCTGCCAGCACTCAGCGAAGAAGGCCCGTGTGGGGAAGCAGCGGTCTCCCTGCAGAGGTTGGACACGCCCCTTGCTGACTCAGAGCTCTCCAATCGGCTAAGCTACTTCTACCTGCCTAGCCCTGTCTCAGCAGTGGGCACGTTGGACCTCTGCAGGGAGACTACTGCTTCCACACAAAGAGCAAGGGTCCCATTCTGCAGCATGCTGGCAGGGCACAGGCTTTTCTTTCTTTTTTTTCAGGTTGTGGCTGCAAACTGTAAGTCTCTGCACACCTTTTGTTTTGATCCTCTTGGTATGTATTGCGATACTTTGCAGTGGCGTCACAAGGGTGGTGCGGCCGGCACCCGGGTGACACCATTGGAGGGGTGACAACATCCATCACCAAAATGGCCGCTGGCAGGTATCAATTAGATTGCTGAGCATGCGCGATGACGTCACGGCGGGGGTGTCACCCGGTAACCGCTCTGGGTGACCCCCGGCCTTGGGA